CCTCGCGTGTCCGGCCTGCACCCACTGGGCAGCGACCCGCACTTCCTGCCATACGAGGACTCAAGATGTAGGCCACGGCGGCAGAGGATAGCGGCGGGCGGCGCGAGAAGAACGTGGTGGCTGCGGCGGGCGGCCGGCCGGTGGTGCAGGCCATGGCGGCGAAGGAGCGCAGCAGGCGGCCGGCCGGTGGGCCGGTGGAGGAGGCCACAGCGGCGGCGGCGGGTGGAGGACCACGGCGGGAGAAGGAGTGGAGGCGGGCGGAGGAGCGTCGCGGGAGGAGGAGCGGAGGTGGGCGGAGGCCGCGATGGCGTTGTGCCGAGGAAGGCTTCATGGGCGCCCACGGCGTCCTCCAGCGGGAGCGGGAGCACGTACTCGCTGTCGATGGCGGCGGCCATGGCGGCCGCGTCGGGCACGGAGGAGATGGATATGAGGGGTGGATGCTCTCGACGACCTCGCCGCGCAGGCGGCGCACCTCTACAGCGAGAACACGCGCGAGCGCGCGACCCCATGCTCTCGACGACCTCGCCGCCCTCGCGCTGCCCTGCCGCTACCCTACCAAGCTCGCGGCCTCCTTCCACGCAGCGGCAACAGCTCGTCGCAGGCACCGCTCGCCATGGCCGCGCTGGTGTAGACATACTCGACGGCGGCTGCGTCGCGCATGCTAGCTAGCTAGTTGTGGCTGCCGCATGCCGCGTGCACAACTGTGTGCGTGCGCGCATACTCGCCGTGGTAGCTCACGCGATGGAGCTCGCACGCCCAGCCGCCTCCCGGCCAGACCTGCGGTTGCCGCGGCTGCGCCAGGCCTCGCCGCACCCGACCCCGACAGCGCCCGGCAACGCACCGCCCGGCCTCGCGCTCGCCGCACCATGCTTGTGGCACTCGCCATGCCGCCCCCGCCATGGGGTTCGAGCTCGCCTGTCGGCCTCCCCGTGCGCTGCGAGCTCCCCTGCCATGCCTGCTACGTGTTTGAGGAAATGTCAGGGCGGACATGTCGAAAATGGGTCTGGCTACCGTTAAACGCACTCGCAGACCCAAATGAAAAAGCGGATACGGACGCGCGGACGGGCGATCCAAACAGACAAAAAACAGACGAAATCGTTGTCCGTTTCGGTTGGTCCGTTGGAGTTGATCTTAAACCACTCCTAAAACTAATAAAACGTGTAACTAAATCCAGAGACTTCGGAAGTATTTATGACAGAGTGTATGTGTTGTTGAGAGAGACCGTAAAAGAAGTTATCTTCCGGCGTTTCCTTTCTAGGGCCTCCAAAGCATCTTCAGGCTCCTCATCCTCTTCAACACAAAGTTCCTCTTTTACAGCTTTCCACTGTAATAGTGAAATGAATAAAAAAGGTTGCTTTAGCAATGGTAGATTAATAAGGAAACAATCATTATACATCAACACTCGCCTTGTCTTAAGTCTTACCTATTACCATTTAAACAGATTGTTTTGCCTTTGATTAAAGAAGAAATGATAAACATGAAACAAAATAGTCAGGAAACACACCGTTACACCCCCACTTGCATATGTGTTGTTTTATTCAGGATGACCTATATTGTGCACAACGAAATAAACTGGCCGAGGGCAGTGTGCTCTCTTCTTAATAAAATAACTGAGATTTTGTCTCCATCGGGTAAGTGTACACTATATCATGCACAGAAATGGCATCATGTTAAATTTCTTCGTAATTGCACAACCCGCGAGTACATGCACATGCTATATCTCGTCGTGCTCGCCTATGCCGCCTCGACATAGCCTAATGTCTATGTCGCGGACACGAAGACTTGGTTTAGTGTGAGTTCTTTTCAGCTCAGACTTTTCATTTGGGTTTCTTGGGTTTTCGGGGAGCGGTTTCAGTGTCTTTTACCGTAATTTCTTTTGTGTTTTTTTGCTGATAATATATATATATTTATTATAGTTTTATTTGTATGTTTCTTATTTATTTATTCTAGCATTTTTAGTGAAGTTTATTTTGTGTTTTCCTATTGGCATTTCCTTATTTTTTTCTGTTATATTTTATTTCTCTATTTTTATTATTTTTCCTGTTTTTATTCCTTTATTCAAGCCTATTTCAGCATAATTTCTTTGCTGTTTTTTCGATTGAATTTTGTTTTGTGTTTTTGTTATTTATTTATTTACTTCTTTTCTGTTTCTAATTTTGTTTCTAAAAATACCCAAACACTTTTCAATAATATATTAACAACTTCTAAATATGTTAATATTTTTTTAATTATACTCACATTTGTTAGTACATGATGAACAAATATTAATACACAAAAAATAATTTTGAATAACAATAGGAATGTTTTCCCAAAATTATATCACAAATACTTTTAATACATGACAAACATTATTTAATACACGACTATGAGAAATGTGTAATAATACCAGGAGAAACTGCAGAAAATCATCCGAAAATCTGAGTACCGGAACTACCGATAGGCCAGCCCTCTTTAGGATTTGCCCCTTCTGGCTTGGAAGCTGTTATTCACACGGGCAACTCTCAAGCGCCCATCATTTGGCTGGCCCAAGTAGTGCAGCTTCATTATTATTTTTTCTTATTTTATTTTTACTTTTATTGTGCTTACATGTTTCCTCGTTTTTAAGGTAAAATACACTAATAGTTTTTTTAGAGATTCACGAAAAGATTTTATATAATAATTATATGTAACCAATATATAATCCATTTGATAATACAAAAGTTAAGAATGTGTTAAAGTTTGGCACACATTGAAAAGTGAAATAGTCATGAATTTATAAAAAGGTATTCACTCATTTTGGAAATTTTCATGTATTTTTTTCTAAAGGTGTTCACTTGTTTAAAAATATGTTCATGGTATATTCATATGCTCATGGTGCATTAAAAACAATTGAACTTTATCGAAAAATATAAATCACGTATCTAATAAATGTGCAACTAGTACTTCTTAAATGTTGCATGCATATTTAAAAATCTTCACCATATAGTAAAAAATGTGAAACTTTATTGAGAAAAATGTTCTTCTTGTTTTTAAAAATGTACCACATGTATATTGATGGCTGTGGGCTGAAATGTTCGGGGTTTTTTGTTGTTGTTGTTGTTCTGACGGTTTTCTTCCGGTTTTTCTTTTCTATTGTTTTAGTATAAGAAGAAAAAAGAAAAAATTGTATAGAAATTTTTTTGTACGGATCTCCATGCAAGTCAAAGGAATATATCATCGACAGAGACATACCAAAGTCTAGGGCGACTGAGACTTAGCAAAACTGTAATTTTATCTCGAACCAGAAGACCAACTACCATCAAAAGGAAATACGACATTATTAAACAGTATAACTCAGCTAGCTAGGAGCCCTCATAGCGCTTTGAGTCTTTTAGCCATCGGATCACATTCGTATGCACAGGATTGGCTGGGTCCTCGGTTTACGCTAATTAGTTCCTGTTCGTTTGCTGGTACCACCGTTTTGTGGGCCGCTGCTCCGCGGATCGAGTTACAACTTATGTCCATAATCCGGCCGTAAGGTCGAAGGCCCAGGTGCAGTCGAAAATGCAAAGCAAGAGCCTGATTCGCATGTTACCGCCGTATAACAGGCCAGGTCGCGGAAAAACAAACAGGCCAGGGCACTCCTCCTTGTGCCTCGGCGGTGCGCTCTACTAGCCCTCTACTCTTCCTCCTCCGGTGCCCTACAACGTTTAGTGAATTGGTGATGTAACGTATCTTTTTAAATATTTAGATTTATGTGAGGCTATGACTATGAGTGCCGTGGCGGTGGATGTGTACCTCAAGCCTCAAGAGTGCTCAGATCAATTCCCTGCTGCAGCTCGCAATTTGTCTTACTTGTTCATCTCTCAACTACACATAGGTACAGTTTTTTGTTTGTGGTGTTTGGTAGAAAGATTGCATGACAAATGGGCATCTCTGAGACTCTGAATCGGGAATAGCTCGAAAGATTGCTATATATTCTTCTGCTCTGACATTTCTTCTTCCGTTTCTGCCTTGCTTGCCTTATGTCAGTTAGCTTTCACTCCTTTAGACAGCCTTGCTGTTCACTTATTAAATAGATGTCGTCTTTTAGTCTGGAACCAACTTGACTTTTACCTTTCCTTATTACTCCCTCTGTAGAGAAATATAAAAGCATTTAGAACATTACTGTAGTGATCTTAAGGCACCTATCTTTGTGTCTATGACATGCGGGCTCAACAGATGGCTGGCCCACATGTCAGTGACCCAAAGGCATGTGCCTTTAAGGTACCGAAGCTGCGTCCGTTGACTACTGAATCCGCTTGAAGAAGCGATGCAAAGTTTGAACAGGCAGGTTGTGGCTTTTCTTTGGAGTCCAACGGTGCTCTACCTCCCACAATGCTATGTCTAAAGTATGCACGACTTATTTACACACCCACGTTATATTTCCAAAGTTTGTTGTTGGGTGGGCAAATCATTATCTTTGCTTTGGCAACGGCAATATATTAGTACTGCCAAGTATTTGTGAACTACTAGTGATGCCATGATGCCATTATTTTACTACCACGGTCTTTGGAGTAATAATGGACCACCACTTCATATATTGAATAAATATATGTATTGTGAACATTTTACCATAATATATCTTTTGCCATTTTCTTAAGATGGACGAGCGCAGCAACGCGCGCCTTAATAATCTAGTAAGGACGAGCTGCCGGCGAAGTCTGCACCGGCTCCAGGGGAAGTTGTGGATGGGCTCTTCACCTTGCCGGCGTCGCGCGTCTCTTCATCCTCTCACCCCTATTGAGGTCTGTCGCAGCTGTAGCCCCTCTGGTCCTCCGGCGCTCCATCCCGACACGGTGTTTGCCCAGCCTCTGCTAGTTGTCGCGCTGGTCGAGGATCTCGTGTTGCTTAATTAACTTATTCAACTTAATTAGCCAAAATGAAAACTAGACCACTTACATTACATATATCTATCTATTGCGAAAAATATATAATACTAGAAGATATATAGATGGAAGCGATAGATTAATTAAGGGAATTGCACGAGGTGAAGGTCGGTACTAGTGTCCACGTGGTGGTGGAAGGTGCAAGTGTGGTCTTCCTCGTCCATGGTGTCGGACATGGCCTTTCCCCTCGTCTCTGGCAGGCAGGCAGGCAGCGAACATGCCGGAGCAGCCGATGACGAGCCCGAAGACGCCGAAGGAGAAGAAACTGTTGCGGCGCCCCAGCGCGACGAGCACGGGCGCCGCCACGCCTCCCAACACCAGCGCCTGCCTCACCAGCCCCACCGCCGAGTTACGGACGGACGTCGGGAACAGCTCGATGGAGTACATGAGTATGACGTTGAACGCCGTGCACGTCGCGAAGATGGAGACCAGCTCGGCGGCCATCCGCGCCGTGCCCTGCGGGATTACGACGCACGCGAGGCTCCACAGCCCCGCCGCCGCCGTGAGCGCGACCACCGAGCTCCGACGGTTGATCCTGCCCATCAGGAGCCACGAGAGGATGGACGACGGCAGCTCGGCCAGCGCATTGTACGTGACGCTCAGGTAGAGGTTGGAGCCCAGGTTGGCAACGTTGAGCGGCATGCCGTAGTAGACCATGCCGACGCCGAAGCTGGCCGTCATGATCGCCGCCAGCCTCCGGAGCGCCCACGGGCGCTCCCGCATGGAGTGCAGCGTGGCGAACACGCTGCTCGCGCTCGCCCCCGCGTCATCGTCGTCGTTCACGGCACAGGCGTGTATCATGGAGAAGCTGGACGACGTGATGCCGCCGATCTGCATCTGCTGCAGCGTGTCGATGGCGTCCTGCCTCCTGCCGCGCACCAGCAGCCACCGCGGCGACTCCTGGACGACGAAGTAGAATAGGATGGCGTAGCAGAGGGACGGCACGGACGTCCACAGGTACATGTTCCGCCACGACGCCTCCCGGAACGTGTAGGCGAGCGCCGGGAGAGACAGGAACCCGAGGGTGAAGCAGAAGAACCCGGCCACGCACACCGTGTCGCGCCACCTCCTTCCCACGAGCTCCGTGGATAGGACCAGCGTGCACGTGCCAACCATGGACCTGCCGAACCCGGACACGAATCGCAGGGCGGCGTACGCCCACACGTTCGGCGAGAACGCGGTGACCATGCCAGAGACCGACATGGACACAATGGACGCGAGCAGCATCTTCCTGCGGCCCAGGAGCGAGTCGGCAAGCGTGGTGAGGAGGAATCCGCCGACGAGGCATCCGGCGAAGAACGAGGATGCCGGGAGCGAGACGAGCGCCGGGCCGGCGCACTCCAGTGACCACTCCGAGACCACCGACGTTACGGCGGGACGGTCCCACGCCCACGCGCCAGGCGGGAGCGCGCAAGGGGAGGCCGCAGCCGCGGAGCAGGAGGACGCGTCGGCGTCGGCGTCCGTGCAGTGCCACGGCGGCTCGGCGTCGGTGAAGACCGAGATGAACACCTGCTGCGCGTCCAAGGCCCACGCGAAGGCCAGCAAGACGGCCTTGAGAAGCTGCCCGGCGCCGGCGGCACCCATGTACGCCTCCATCGTTTCATCGATCGACGGCCTGGCTTTGTGGCTTGTCAGGAGCGGGGCGGCGGCCGTGTCAGCCATTGGATTTGGCACGGCGGCCGTCTCGGGTGCGTGCTTTCCTCCTGAGTTCGTCGCCGCTTGCTCACAAGTCGAGAGTGTGAGAACGATTCCAGTAGTGACTGGCCGTATTTATACGGATCGTGTGTGCCTCAACGAAGCAGAGCCCGCCGATGCTGGCTTGAGGGAGACAATGATATTAATTTTTTTAGGGTTATATTAAGGGGAGCGCTACGCGTCTACTGGCAGACGTTTAGTAAACATCCATCACCTCAATAGCCGTCGGATCTTCGCGCGCGAGCCGTCTGATCAAGCTCCTCACACGCGACTCGTCGGTGTCCCAACACACTAATTTCTGAAACAATAAACCAGTTGCAGAAACAATGGCCGCATTGCAGAAACAATCATGAAACAATGGTCGCGTTGCAGAAACAATTCCTGAGACAACGGCTGCGTTGCAGAAACAACTACCATGTTGCAAAAATTTGGAGATTGCAGAAACAATTCTAAAACAACGGCCGTGTTGCAGAAACAATTCCTGAAACAATGGCTGCGTTGCAGAAACAACTACCATGTTGCAGAAACTTTGAAGATCCACCCTCGAACACCCGCACACGAAAGCGGCGGTGCCTCCAGCATCTCTTCAGAAAAGCTCGGCCGTGGGTGTCTCCAACATCTCCGAGCAGGTCCCTGATTGTGTGCATAATGGAGAAGGATGGGTCGCTGGGGAAGGAAGAAAGAAGGCAAAAGAAAACAAAAGATGTAGATGGGAGCAGTTGGATGAGAAGATAAGGCAGGATGCAAAGCGGTGCACGCCCACTGGGACACGCATCGCCCGTGGGAGACGGCGGACGAGTGAGAGAAAATCTGCCGGTTGACATCAAGCGTTTTCCTTATATTAATTTTGTTTTGAGGGTAATGATATTTGGGCAACGCTACACACTGGCCGGTGGATCTTTTTGCTGCCATGCGAGCCATTGGATTAAATATGTGATGGCCGTCAGATTTAGCTGTTGTCTTTGCAACAAGAATGATGTTGCGTTTGGACGTTTGCATCATAGTTCATGTTGCAAAACTTTTGCAATAGAGGCATTGTCAGATATCTTTTTCAGCGGAGCTAATGTTCCAGACTTTTTTTTGTCTTCGCTAGTGTTATGGAAGAAAGTTTTGCAATATCAGTAAGAGCATCTTCTATTTTGAAGATGTACAACAGCAGAAGTAAAAATTGACATCTCCAATAGATGATGTATATTTGAGATGTAAAAGAGCATCTCCAATAGATGATGCAGAATGGAGATGTAAAAACTAGTGAGCGGCAGCCGAATCCAGGCGGCGGCAGTGGGGATGGCGGCAGCGCGGCGTGATTCGGGGTGGTGGTGTCGGGGCAGTGTGGGGGCGGCGGAGGAGCGTCGGAGGGGCGACGGGGGTGGTGAATCGGGACGGCGGAGCAGCGGCAGAGGAGGAGGAGCGGCGTACGGGCGTCGGAGGGGCGCTGGGAGCTTGGTGCTACGGGCGGCCGACTTCACACGACGGGAAGAACGGCGGAGGCGGGGCGGGCGGCATGGTGCGGAGGCCCAGCTGTGGGTCGAGGCTAGGAACAAGCTGAGCCATCTAAGACCGCGTCCAGGAAGCCATTACGACAATTGGACCTCCGACGAAGCTTCGATTCGAAGCGGCAGCCAAAATCGAATCGGCGGCTGCGGGGGGCAGCCGTAGTTACTCCGGCGAGGCAAGCGGCGGCAGACATGTGGGCGGAGTCACAGCGGGGGTGGAGAAGGGCGGGCGGGCGGGCGGCGGTGATTTTGGGCGAAATCGGACGGCGATGGAGTTGGGTGAGCGCCGGGCGGTCGCACGGAAGCCAACTGAAGGCAGTTGGGCGGTTGACTCGTGGCTGGCATTTTTACATCTTCAATAGGTGAAGATGCAAATTTTCATTGTGAGGTATTCTATTTTACATCTTCGGAAGACGGTGATGTAATTTTTTCTATCTACATCATGTGTTGGAGACGGGTTTTTTGGCATTAGAGATGCAAAAGTTAGTTCTTTTTACATCTACATCTTTTTGTAAAAGTTAGTTATTTCAAGAAAATGACAGATATTTGTATATAAAAAAGTCTTCAATTTTATGTAAAAGTGTGCAAAACTGCAGAAACAGATCCGGTGCATGGGCTACGTATGGCAATTGTTTTTTTCTGAAAAATATATATTCAAAAACCATAGTTTAAAAATATATCTGAAAACAGTAGTACATGTGCATATAGATGTCTAGTATATGTGTACGAGTTTGCATCAATATATATTTCACATGTGGAGTACACACAAAAAATGGGCTTACTTTATGTTGTTTTTGGTGCCCCAAATTTGTCATATTTTTTGTGCGTAGCCTACAAAACAATATATTATTTAATAAAAATTCACATACATTGAAAAGATCAATATGCATCCATAGAAAGAAAATTGATTTTTTTAAAAGAGCTGTAAATGTCTTCTTAGGATTTGTTAATACTTTGTGGAGTCGCGGGGCCAAAAGGCCTTTTTTTGCAGTTTTCTCGAAGATCAATGATGTTGACCGTAAGAAAATATCTCAAACTATGTTACACGCGAGGATAGACAAATTAATTAGCCCGATATTGACGAATCTCAGCGCGAGAATGTGTCCTTGGAACAACTTTAACGCGCCAACCAAAATCGTCCTCGCGTGTCCGTTGGAATTGAAATGGACAAAAAATTCTACCTAAGGCGACGGCATAAATAGGCGCGCGTCCATTTTTTGTCCGCCGCGCGATCCCATCTTGGCCCAAATTTGGGCCTTGTTTACGCCAGCACGGACACGAAAGGGACGCATGCGATGCCCACCCTTGACCTCCTCTGGCCCGCCAATTGATTGCACATTGCCATTCCATCTTTCTCCCATCGACAACCATCACACTCGGCCGCCCTCCCGTTCGTGACCACCTTGGTAGGCAGCGGCCGATGTTTATGGGCTCGATCCCGGGGCACACTCTGGCATTGAATCGCAACCGAGAGAGTGGCCGTTTCTTTCCCTGGAAGGACTACTTCGAGACCCCCAACCCGCTCTTCAAATACCACCTATTCCGTCATTGTTTCCGTATGGCTAGACATTTGTTCAACCATTTTTGGGAGGGGGTGGTGGGGCTTGATAATATTTCGAGTGCAACGAGGATGCCCTGGAAAAGATTGGCTTCCCCTCTTATAAAAAATGCACCACCGCTATTCGGATACTTGCATACAGAGTTCCCGGTGATCTCATTGATGAGTATGTCCGAATAAGCGAGTCTATGTGCCTAGACTCCATGTATGGGTTCTATAAGGTTTTGATAGCAGTGTTTGGCCCGGAGTACTTGAGAGAGCCAAATGTTGCAGATATAGCCTGGTTGTTCGCGATGAATGCCAGCCGGGGCTTTGCAGGGATGCTTGGTAGCATAGATTATATGCACTAGGAGTGACAGAACCGCCCTTCTGTTTGGCAGGGGCAGTATTGAGGCTATGTCAAAGCTTGCACTATCATGCTCAAGGTCGTGGCCTCACAAGATCTCTTGATTTGGCAATCTTTCTTCGGCACGGTCGGAGCTCACAACAATATCAACATGCTTCAACGCTCTCCTGCGTTTGCAAGGCTTGCAGAAGGCAATTGTCCAGAGGTCAATGCTAAGATCAATGGCCAACACTAAAACAAAAGGATACGACCTAGATGTCGATATGTATCCTTAGTGGACTACTCTTGTGAAGACAATCCCCAACCCTATAGGGGAGAAGAGGAAGAGATTTTCCCAAGAGTAAGAGAGTGCTAGGGTGGATTTGGAGCGTGCCTTTGGTGTTATTCAATCTCGATGGGGCATCGTTCGGTATCCTGCTAGAACTTGGAGCACCAAGAAGTTGTGGGAGGTGATGACTGCTTGCGTGATCATGCACAATATGATCGTAGAAGATTAGTGCCTAGAACGTATATATGACCAAGGGTTTCGCCTTCAGGGTGAACATGTTGTGCCTAAGCATGGAAGAGCGGCAATGTTTGCACAGTTCATCAAATTTCTTCATCAAATACATGATTGTGAAACTCACATTCAACTGCAAGATAATTTGGTTGAGCATATGTGAGATCATGTTGGCCAATAGATATATAACCTATCCTTTTTAAATGTATTTGAAATAATTTAATTTTTATTTGGGTTATAAACTACGAGATATTCATTTGGCTGTGAACTATGAGATATTTGTATTTTGTTTCAATTATTTAAACTAGGGCCAAATTTTTATATGTTTGCAAAACAAACATGGTAGGTCCGCTGCGAGGACGAAAATGTATTCGCATGATGGGTGCACGGCCGACCCAAACACAGAAAGGAATGGACGAATAGCGGGCAACCGATCCAAACGAACAAAACACTCGTGCATTTGGTTTGGCGTATTGAAGTTGCTCTCAGTCACATGAAGCTGGATTAATTCGTACAGATTATGAAGGACGAAATTAAGGAGGGCCTAGCTAGCGGGGTCAGTCGGCCGGGAAGTCACAGCACACATCAATTTTGAATTAATGGATACGTAGTGCCTGGTGGTGTACGAATTCATGCATGTGTGCATGCATTGGAGAGAGGTGCGTAACGTAACGTGGCTGCCCGTGACTCCTAGCGGCTGTTGCAAGCTGCTAGTTTTTCCAACTGCATCGATCTGTGTGAGTGAGCTGCGTTCTTTCTTTTTTCCAACTGCATCGTCGTAAGTGTGCTGTGAGGAATGATGCCGACGAGGAGCGTCGGTCGACATGGACGCCCATCCACAGCTAGCTAGCAAACAGTAGCCGCCAGGGCCTAGCTAGGAAGAGAGAGATTGTCCGTGTCGACAAGAGTGAAGGAAGATGGAGTACTGTGGCGGCGGCAGCAGGGCATGCATGTTATGCACTCGCTGGTAATTGTTTCACGAGCTTTGCTACAGTTACGGACTCAATCTTGCGGACAAGAACCTACAGACTGACATGGGAACCGTTGATTGGAAAGCAGATGGTCCCA